ATGTATAATCTAAAATAGTAAAAAATGACAATGAGGCTGGTAAACATGGAATGGTAATTGGGACATGGTTTTGGGAAAAAAGAGATGACAAATGTGATGTATTTCTATTTCAGTTAAAAGATTATATATTTCTGTTAAGTAATTTATTCATGTAACATCAAAATTGAGTGCCCCCTCCCTCCAAAGAATCCATCACATATACAGGCAGTCCTCTGTCCCCAATCCCCTTCTCCTTGGAGAAGTGGGAAAAAATCCCCTGGCTGAAAAAATACCAAGGGATAACAAGTTACTGCAGGACTGCTCACATCTACTCCCACTGAGGCAAGAGGAAGCAGCCCAGAAGGGGAAACTGAATACACATGTAGGCCATGGAATCAGGGCCTGCTTCCACTCTAGTTGTTGGGGGATCCTCAGGAAGACATATCTGTTTATCTGCTACATATATGCCAGTAGGGTCAGGAATTTAGGTCCAGTCCATTTATAGTCTTGGTTGGTGGTTAATTCAGTCTCAGGGAGCTACAAGGGTGCAGATTAGTTCACTCTGTTGGTCTTTTTGCTAAGCTCCTATACCTCTCAAGGTCCCTCAATTCTTCTGCCAAGGCTTTCTGAGTTCTGTCTAATATTAGCCAGGGGAACATCTCTGTCACTTTCCTTTGTCTGCTAGATTGAACCTCTGAGAGGCCACCCATGCTTGACTCATGACTGAAAGCATTACATAGTATCATTAACAGTGTCAGGGATTGGTTCCTTTACATGGGATGGATGGGAAGTTGGATCAGAAATTGGTTAGCTATGGCCTCAGTTTGTGCTTCATCTGTTCACTGCACTTCTTTCATGCAAGACAAATTTTGGGTTATTGTTTTGTGGGAAGATTGGTAGCCTTATGTCTCCACTAGGAATCCTGCCCCGTTACAGGAGGTAGACACTTCTGGATACATAGCCAACTCTGGAAGGAGTGTTAGCTAGAGTCATTGTCCTAGACTCTATAGTCATCCCTACTTCATTGCGGGACTCTGGAAGACTCTCATGATGCTTCATTCTCTTCAAGCTACAGATTTATATTCACTATCCTGACCCACCATTCCTGGCTCTCAGCACATATGTTTACGCTACTATTTATTTCCTTCTCCATCCCATCTTCTACCTAGTTCACTCCCTGGAACCATGTCAAGTGATTATTTTTTGCTCTTCAGAGTAAGATTAGGTTATCCTTTCTTGACCCTATGTGTTATTTAGATTCTTTTGGTATATGGATTCTAGTGTGGATATCCTGTACTTTATGGCCAATGGTCATTTATAAGTGAGAACATAATTTGAATACTTCTTTGGGACTGTGTTACCTCACTCAGAAATAAGTATATGTTTTATTCTATCCATTTGCCTTCAAAGTTCATGATATCCTTTTTTCTAATAGCTGAAAAGTGTTCCTTGTGTAAATGAACTATATTTTCTATATATATTCTTTTGTTCATTGACATCAGACTCATTTAGAATTTTTGATTGTTATGAATAACGCTGCTATCAACATAGTGGAGTATGTCTTTGTGAGATGGTAGAACATTATTGGGTATATTTCCAGGAGTGTTATATCTGAGATGTCAGGTAGAACTATTCCCAATACTTTCAGAAACTTCCAGTTGAATTTCTAGAATGATAATACCATACCAAGGAGTACCCTTGGCTTGAAGAAGGCTTCTGAGAGAATGGATGTCTGTGATTGGCAAAAATAAATAACTGGAAGGCAAATTTTCGGTCCAAACTTATAACCACTGCTTCACAAACTTTTCCAGTCTGCTTCTCTCTATGTTCTGCTTTCTGTCTGAGAATATCTCTGTCTATATTCTGCCTGCTAGCCATTCTAAGCGATCTTCCTGTCCATGTTCTGCTTGCTTGTGTGTCTGTTTCTGTGTATGTTCTCTATTCAGTTCTCTCTTTATTTCCTAAAAAAAAATCTCTAGTAGCTCATTTCCAACACAGGTCTAGCCTTTACATATCAATATGGTCATTTACTCTATGTATTTCTTTTATCTATATGTCAGCAATCCATCATCCAACACTTTGATTATTAGAAGACACTAAGCATATATATTTTTCTTAAGAGTGCAAATGCATTCAGATATAGGTCTGCCTTTGTTAAGGTGAGAAGATATGGTAGTTGGTTGGGGCACTGCCCTGAAATTTCCATTTTCATAAAGCCTGTTCCTAGTGTTGGTCTCTCCTAAGCTGATCCTGAAACCCAGAATCTATATGCCTTTATAATAGGGCACACACACACACACACACACACACAAAACCTAAGTTGTGTAGGATATACTGTGACCACCACTCTATAAAGCTTTTTATCTCCTTCTTCAGAAATTGTCTAACAAGTTGACTCACAAGGAACCTGCTTTTATTCATTTACATCCAAGAGGCCCCTCATATAGTGTATATTGCATTTCTACATTTTGCATTGAATATATATATTTTCATACTTACAGATTTAGAACTCTTTCATAGCCTTAGGGGTTGCACTGAATGTATCTAAGTTTACCATTTTTATAAGCCATTGCCATACCTACAATTCTACTTGAGCTAGTATTAGGTAACAGGTAGTCATTAACATCAAATGTTATGACACTCCTTGGAAGTAAATTGTCCTCCACTGGTTTTAGGTTCCGAAAATATGTACATTATTATACAAACAAGACCTACACCTGCAGAAGACATTGCTACTACTAGGGTCTCACACATGTGCATAGTGCATAGTCCCACCTGCAGATACCATGGGACTCTTTCTAAAACAATGCCATGCTGGCCTAAAAAGTCCTAGTCTTTACATCCAACCACAAAGGAAGAGTGTTTTCCATGCTCCACATCCTTGTCAGTAAGTGCCCTTGCTTGACTTATTGGTCATAGCCATTCTGATGTGTATAAGGTAGAATCACAGAGTTGTTTTGATTTGCATTATTCTGATGCCAATAGATATTAAGCATTTAAGTCTTTCTCAGGCAATAGAGATACTTCAATTAAGAGTTATCTGTTTAACCTTTTAGCCCAATTTTAATTGGATTGTTTCATTTGTTTTATCTAAATTCAAGAGTTCATTATATTTTTGGATAAGATTCATCTGTCAGATGTAGGGGTAGATTAGTTCTTTCCAGTCTATAGGCTACCATTTCATTCTATGGTTGGCATTATTTCCCTTGAAGTCTCATTTTAGTTTTAGGAAATACTGTTTATAAATTGTTGATCTTAGAACTTAAGCAATTGATTTTCTGTTCAATATGTTGCCTCCAATGATACTGTATTCAAAACTATTCCCCATTGTGATTGTTTATATTTGCTTGGGGGAAGGTGTAGGTCTATTAGAAGAGGAGTTTTAGCCATGTTCGATCATGTGTTTCACTATGGACATTGGCTTTAATACCCTAGTCCTAGCTGCCTGGAAGTCAGTTGTCTCTTTTTTCTTGCAGATGAAGATGTATAACTGTCATCTCCTCCTGTACCTTGCCTTCCTCGATGTTGCCATAAACTAGACTTGAGAGTAAAGAATTGAACAGCTGTACTTGAATGTCCATTGTCTGTTCTCAGCTTGAAATTTTTTCTTCCATCTCTTGTGTTGATGATACTTATGTCTAGAACTTCTGGTCACATTGCTAGGATTTCTGTCTCCATTTTGACTCAGTTTCTGTATTCTTCAGTGTTCCTATTTCCCATTTCATATCTTAACATTTTTACTTACTTTATCTATTTGATTGTATTGTCCTATACTTCTTAATACTAATTTTATTTCTCATTACGTGTCTCTCTTGTTTAATTAAATTTTCTGTTATTTTTTATGCAAGACTCTGTAAATATATTTTATATATCTCTTTTCAAAAGGCTGCCATTATCTTCATAAGATTAGACTTAAGGTCATTTTATTGCTTCACGGATTCTCTTACTTCAGGATTGCTCATGTATACAGAACTGAGAGTTATAGAATAAATATGCTTTAGTAGTGTCATTTGCCCTAATTTTTAAAATTGTTATTTCCTAGTTTATCAGCAATTTTGAAGTCTTTGTTGTTACCAGACCTAGTAGTCCCTGATAGCTATTGAACTCTGCCACTCACTGCAGGTCCAACTGCAAGTGAGTTGCAACTGGAAGTTCCTCATAGCCACAGCCCTCTGGTATTTCAGGAAGACATGTTTTGCCATAAGTAGCAGTAGGCTTCCAGGGTTGTAGGCAAAGAATGTAGTCTCTGATATGTTCAGACTTCTCTTTGTCTATGGCATAGGTATGCCTCACTGAAAGCATTCAGAGCTTGTGGTTACTGAGGGCAGCATGAATCTTGGATTGCATGTAGTGCTATATACTGGAAGATGCAGCAGAGAGTGGGTGGGGCAGACTTCTTGGCTACTGTGCTTTCCAGGCAATACAGGAGGGAAAGGATTGGGAATCTCACCTGGTCATCTTGGAAGCCAGTATGCCTCCAGGGAAGCAGGCAGAGCTTTGGCACAGTGAATGAAACTCTGATTTCAGATGCTGAAATTATTATTTAAATAATGTGTAAGTGTGCAAATATCAAGTCAAGAATTTCCAACTTAATTAGAAATAAAGTTTTACATAGTAATATGGTTGAAAAAATCAATTTATGCACATAAATACTTTTATCATGTTGAAGAATTATCAAGTTCTTCAGGATTTATCTGTCTCAGTGATATTTCTTAACTTATGAATAAATTGTTAAATACTCTATTCTCATGTGTTGGACACATGTTTTAAATGCTATACTTACCATTTTATTATATATCTTTCCATATTTTTAAATTTTTCAACCATATTTCATTTTCACCTTAATTTTTCTTTTATGTCCTCACTTTGTATATGGCTCATTGGCTCACTTCCAGTCAGCCCCTCATAGAGTCTTTCCCCTGTTTCCTATTTCCTTCTACATTGAGTACGTAGTGGTCCCCTGTGTACTCCCTAAAGATGGAGCTTCAATACTATCCCAGGTAATTGCTTCCTTTCCTACTATGGACATAAGTCCAGAGAAGGTAGCCCAGGTAATAAAACATCTACCATTTACAGGGTTTTAGGAAATCCTCCATACAAGCTGTTATTAACCACAGGATAGTTAAGCTGCACACCTCCTACATATATGTCTAAGTCTAGTCCATGCATGTTCTTTAGTTGCTGGTTTAGAATCATAAGTTCCCAAAGGTCAAGGTTGGTTGACTCTGTTTGTCTTCCTGTAAAATTTCTATTGCCTTCATGGCCCACAATCTTACCTCTTATTCTTCCTTAAGAAACTCAAGCTACATACACTGTTTTTCTGCAGTTGTCTCTATCTGTTTGAGTCAACAGCTGGGTGGAACCTCTCAGAAGTAACATGCTTCTGTCTACAAGCATAACAAAGTGTCATTAATAATGTCAAAGATTGTTTCTTGAACATGGGGTGGATGTATATTTTATCCAGTTTTTATGTGGGTATTTCCTTAGTCTCTGCTCCATCCCCAGTGAATCAAATTCTTGTAGACAGTATAAATTTTTAATTGAAATGTTTCTGGGTGTGTAGATGTGTCTATCACTCTTTTGGGGTTCCTTATAGGCTTGAGGAGTTTGCCACTTCAAGTTGCATGTCTGCAGTATAGTGAGTCACAACTAAGGTCACGCCCATTGATTTGTTGGCTTCTCCCTTATCCTTGGTAACTGTCACATAATCAAGATATCCCCATATCTTACCTCTCCCAGTTGCAGATTTCCATTTATTTTCGTAACCATCTAGTCCTCTCTCCTGTCCTTCTCTACACATGATCCTGAAACACTCATCCCACTCTCTTACCCACCTACTTCTCCCAGTTCTCTTTTCTCCACCTGTCTATTATGGCTATTTTATTGAACTTTCTAAATGAAATTCAAGCTTCTTTGGTAGTGCATTCATCAAATGTATGTTCTATTGGTCTTAGTAGTGTAAAATGGTACTTGTATTTTATGGAAATTATCTACTTTTAACTAGGTACATACCGTGCATGTCATTTTGACACAGAGTTTCTTCAAACAGGATGAAAGTCTCAAGGTCTATCTATTTGCTTGCAAAATTCTTGAGTTACTTGGTATTGGATCTGAATATTATTTTGTTCTGTAAATGTACCTCATTTTCTTTATCCAAACTTCAGACAATCTTTCCATGTAGGTTGTTTACAGTTTTGGGCTTTTACAAATACAACTGCTATGAACATAGATGAACAAATGATTCTATGGGATGATAGAGAACTTAAGATTTTATCATATCTCATTCCTTAGTTTCTTATAAATATTCTATGTGATTTTTAATACATTCCTTAATCTTGCATTACCATTCAGTCATAAAAGAAGTATTACACATTCTCATATCTATCTTTCTGTTATTGGAAACATGATTTGTTTTCACATTGATAATTCTTTTTCACAGAGTGAATATTTCTATAAATTAATTAGTGACAGTTGGCATATTTTGTTACAATTAAGAATGTTGTAATGAATACTAAGTTATCATATGCATAACATTATAAAGTATATGACATATTTCATGAAATATATTCTAATATCTATTATGTTTCAAGTTCATTGCAGAATCAATACAGGAGAGAAGCCTTACAAATGGAACGAATGTGTCAAATCATTTACATGGAATTCACAACTTCACATTCACTACAGGATCCATAGAAGAGAAAAATCTTACAAATGTGATGAATGCAGCAAATCTTTTACATGAAACTCACTCCTGAAAATTCATTACAAAATTCATACAGGAGAGCAACCTTACAGATGAAGTGAATGTGGCTAATATTTTACAAAGGAACTCACACCTGAAAGTTCACTACAGGTTTCACAGAAGAGAAAAACCTTACAAATGTAATGAATGTGGCAAATCTTTTATATGGAACTCAGGCCTTAAAGTTCACCAAAGAATCCATACTGGAGAGAAACCTTACAAATGTAATGAATGTGGCAAATCATTTACATGGAGCTCAAAACTTCAAGTTCACTGCAGAATCCTCACAGGAGAGAAACCCTCCAAATGTATAGAATGTGGCAAAACATTTAAACAGTTGTCACACCTGAGTATTCACTACAGAATCCATACAGGAGAGAAACCTTACAAATATAAGGCATGTGGCAAATCATTTACACAGATCTCACACCTGCAAGTTCACTACAGATTCCATACAGTAGTGAAACCTTACAAACGTAATGAATGTGGCAAATCTTTTACAGAGAACTCACACCTTCAAGTTCACTATAAAATCCATACAGGAAAGAAACTTTACAAATGTAATGAATGTGGCAAATCTTTTACACAGAACTCAACCCTTCAAGTTCACCACAGAATCCATCCATGAGAGAAACCTTACAAATGTAATGAATGTAGCAAATCTACTACAGAGAACTCAACCCTTCAAGTTCACCACAGAATACATACATACATACCCCCAAAACATATTATATTCATATTCTATATTACTTTCAAAATCAAAATATGAAAATTGTTTCACCCAGCATTAATCTGAAACATTAATAGTGATACAGTATGCATTTTCAAACTCATAAAAGAAACAGTAGTCTACATTTTAAAGATTTAATGAGAATAATATTTGTAACTAGCCTAATACATATATGTTGCTTAATGTTTGTGCAGTTTAGTATGAGAGAAATTGGCATTTGTGTGATATATTTTCTTTGAAGATTACTGTGCTCTTAGGTTTTGACCTCTTGATGGAGGAATTTTTAATCTCTAACTAATCTCATATTTTTCACACTTTTCAATAAATGCATTATTGCTGTCTTCTATTACGATTGCCTTGGTGTGATAACTATTTTATGCTGGGATGGTATCACTCATGTTGTTCAGTTCCTCATTTCTAATGACAACAGAAACATGTGGCAAAAGATAAATTTGATTGCTTTAGACAAATTCCAAGACAACAGTTTGGAAGATAATATATGGTGAGGAGAGGAAATCATGAAGTTTCCCAAGTGCATGCTTGCTTGTGTACGTTTGTGTGTGTGTGTGTGTGTGTGTGTGTGTGTGTGTGTGTGTGTTATGGACAAAATTACTTGGAACATGACTTCTGGTCTAGGGCAAAATTTTAAATGGACTGATTGTATGGATTGAGGGTTGAATTTTAAGATGACAAATCCTAATCTCATCAAAATGTTGAAATTCATGGGATGCTCTGAATAATTTCAAAGCTAGAATTCTCATAATTGTTGTTGAAATTCCATGATGTCACAAATGGATGACAAAATGAAAAAGGCTTCATTTTAATTATCACAAATGACAACATATTTTATACTTGAGTCTCTGTTCGCAACTTTGTATTTCAAGCAAGGTGTACAAGGATAGTTAGGCCATTTGCATTTCACATTTAATGTGAACACAGCAGTGATTAACAGGGCTGAGCAAACGTCAATGGAGTAGGATAGTGAGTTTTTTATCCAGATGCCAAGAAGTGGTACATATCCTGGTCTTGTGTTACTATTTTGAAAATTGCCCACATTGTTCCCATAGTTGCTGTGGTAGTTTGCAAACATGAGTAGAGTATCTGGTATCACTTTAGAATTATCAATCAGTTGCTTTGCTTATGTTTGCTTTTATGTCTGTAAGTACATCAATGCATGAGTAATAGTGTGAGGCCTTGGAGCCTCCTCTTGTCATGGATCCCAATTTAGGCTAGTCACTGGACTTTCTTTTCCTCAGTCTAGTCTTCATTTTTGTCCCTGTGTTTCTTTTAGGCAGGGACAATACTGGGTCAATGTTTTGACTGTAGGATAATGACAGTTTTATCTGTGACTGCAATAATCAGGAAACAATCCAGATATCCACAAAGAAGTATGGATACACACAATGTGATTCATTTACACAATGGAATACTACCAAGGTATTAAGGACAAGGACATCATTTTTGCAAACAAATGGATGGAACTAGAAAATATCATTCAGAATGAGGAAAGTCACTCACAAAAGGACTGGCATGGTATATACTCACTAATAAGTGGATATTAGCCAAAATAGTACAGAATACCCAAGATAAGATCCTCAGTACTCAAAGCAGTTAACAAATCAAAGAGACCAAGTAAAGGTCCAGTAATCCTATTTAGGAGTGAGAAGAAAATAATCATGTGGGGCAGAGGGAGGGGGAACATGGGTGGAAGTGTGGACAGGGAGAGGTAAAGGGGAGCAAACTCAGGTATTTGGAGGTAGGATTATTGCCATGAGGGAAAGCAGAAACAATGGAAATGTGCAACATCTGTGCATAGGAGGTAGGGGGACCCTTTAAAATGTGTCATAGACCTGGGTGATGAGTGACCTGTAGGACTTAAAGGGAGACACAGTATATGGAATACACAACAGTGGAGAAACAACTTGTGCAGGCCATGTCCAGAATAATTACAAGGCATCAAGTGGAGAGTTGTGTTTGCCATCTCTCAATCAACAACTGTGACCCACAATTGTTCCTTTATAAAAGAACTGCAGTGAGAAAAATTGAAAAGAGTTTAAGGAAAAAAAGTTTCGAAAAGGGCTCAAATTTAGATCCATCTCAAAGGGAGGATCAAGACCTGACACTATAGCTGATGCTATGGTTTTATTACAGATAGGAACTTATCAGACCTGACCTCCAAGAGGACCAACAAGCAGCTGACCTAGACATAGGTGGATTCTTACATCCAACCAATGAACAGAAGTCTGGCACCTCTGTGGTTGAATTAGGGAAAGGCTGGAAGAAGCTTTAGAGTGTGAAACCATGGGAACACCAGCATTCTCATCTAATCTGGACCCCTGAGATGGTCTCTCAGACACTGAGCCAGTAATCAGGCATAATACATACCTAAACTTTTAGAGACTTGACACTCCATGAAGTGGAGGCCTGGCAGAGAAGGGGTGGGTAGGGACATCGTTTTGGAGAAAGACTAGAAAGAATTTAATGAGGACATGTCAGAGGGAGGACCAGGAGGATGATAATGACAATAATGTAAAATAAAATACTAAAGCTAATTCTTTAAAATTCATCTAAAAGTTTGGTGATGGTATGCCTCCATTGATTTTTATTTGAAGTACAGATAAAACTTCTAAGACTAATCCTGAATATTATCTAATATTCCTAGTCTAGATTTATATAACCCTCAAACTTTAATCAGATTAAGCAACAGCAGAGGATTAATAACTACCATCATAGTGTGTAACTGTGAGACTTGTCCTGAGATAGTCAAATCCTGATGAATCTGAACCAATGAATGCTTTTATCTACTAAGGACCTGAGATTTTAAGTACATGACTTAGAGGTGGTAGACCTACATGAATAAATAGTTTGCTGTTGATTATTCTTCTCTGGCTGGTTTGATGGGAACACTTTTGCATACTTTACCTGTAGATACATGTGTTCATCCAAGTTAGAAATATTCTCTCCTACAGTAAGCTGCTTAAACTGAAAGGTAAATACCTCAAAATAGCTTAATGATGGTCCTGGAAATGTCCAGATTCTCAGGGCACAACCTGTCAGAGTAAGCAAATAAACTGTATCTTCCTCACAGAAAAGAAAGCCAAGCTGAATAAAAAGAATCTAGACAGGTTCCCCAGAAAAAGTTTATACCAAATAAGGCACCTGATCAGGACACTTTTCAATGAGTTGGCTTGCTTTCAGGCTTAGAATTGTGATCCAGATTTCCAGCTTTTTAGAATGCCACTCATACACAAATAATCATTGGTGATGCAGCTGTCTTTGAACTAGTTCTGCCCACTGTCAACAATACTCTATAAATAATTTTAGTAAAACTCATCAGTTCCCCAAATGGGCCGTTGGTGAGATCTGTTTTGATCTCCTCTGTGTTTGTTATATTGTGCGAGTAAATGTTTGTTGTGTCTCCCCTGAAATGATTCGTCACAAAACATCACCATGATGAACTGAAACCAATGAGATAAAATAACTCTCACCTATTTCATATTTTATTTTAGTCTTGTCTAGAAGAATCCACAAGAAAAAAAAAACGACAAAATTAGTAAGAACAAGGAAAATTGGTTGTCTCTGGTAGAATGCCTGGATACATGGCTTGTAAGAATTTGCAGGCTTTTGGAAAATTATGGAGAAGTAGCATTCAGAAATCCAAGAATGCTGTCAGAACAATTGAGTGAGCAGTTTTTGCCTGGAATACACCCAAGAATAACAGAAGGACAACAGAAACGAAGACAATAAAGTCAATAACTCTGAGGCTTCACTGGGAAATTAATCTATTGTATATTGGACTGTTCACTATTGATGCTAAGTTCTAAAAACAACAACAGAAAAACCTGCTAGTATCTTTTCATAGGTCTATTATAAATATTTATTCATCAATAATGTAAATAATAAATGAGTGTTACATGTCTTCTCTGTATCCAGAGTCCTACTCAGCTCTGTCAATGCAAACAGGTTGAAAAGCGGGTACCATACTAGATTACGTGTTCTTTCTGGAAGGCTATAAAATTGTGAATCCACATTGTTGTGTGTACATACAATTCAAAATGATATACATTTGACTGCAAATGAAAAGGACAAAACAATGGAGTCATAAATATCTGGATATTAAATATGACCATGCCTGTAGAAGGAAGTGAAAGAATAAAATTTGTACCAATAGGAGCTACTGTCATATCACCCATATTGTTTCTTGGATACAAGATAAGAGACATGCTTTAAAAGGAGGACCAAATTGCCCCCCTTGATTGAATATTCCCTGAAACAAAATGTTTCCAACTTCTATAAAACCTAAAGTTATAACAAGTTAATATAATCAATGTAGCATGTACATTGGTCTATGTTTACAATCAGAATGTTTATATTCAACTGTGCTGGATATGATTATTTGCCACTCACATGTCAAAATGAGAGGATACTAGCATTTTGTACTTTAGGAATCCCAAGCAGGTAATTGAGACTAATGTCCACACAAAAAGTTCTGGAGAAAACGTTGAACACATCATGATTTTGCACTGATAAACTGTCATATATAAGTTAAAAGATGAATTCTCACCATTTTTCTGAACTTTTACTGATCTTGGACTTTTACTTCTTCAGAGACAAATAAATTTCAGTTCTTTGTAAACCAGGCACCATGTTGTAATTTGATATAACTTTGCATCAGACTGAGACATTTCTTCTTAAGTGCTGTTAAAGATGGCTTAATATGATCCCATTTTCTATATTTTCACAGAGTTTTCTCCACACATGGTACCTCTTTCTGAATATATTTAGATCATTATGTCAGAGGCTTACATTCTCTAAATGATTTTCTCTTTATCTATCCGCATCCAGGTTGTTCTAGGTTCCGTATGGTTTGTTCAACAAGCTTTGTGTCCCTATTGTCA